GCTATTCGCAACTATTCGCTATTCGCAACTATTCGCTATTCGCAACTATTCGCTATTCGCAACTATTCGCTATTCGCAACTATTCGCTATTCGCAACTATTCGCTATTCGCTATTCAGGTTGTCCAGACACCGACGGAGTCGTAGACGGAATCGGAAGAAATGGAAACGTTCTGATTCTTCCGACTCCGATTCTGTCGAGCTTATGACTCTGCTTACGACTCCGATTTTCGATTTTCACTAGGTCGTAAGCACTCTTACGTCTCTGAATACGACTTCGACTCCGACTCCGACTCCGTCACTGGTGAAAACCAGCCTTTGGGAACTGGCGTACGCGCCTTGATATTATGTTATATATTTTGGTGGATTTTACGTCACGTGTCTACCAAAAGAGTCCTGGAACGAGACCCGGTCAGTTACGCCTGGCGAAATATTTGCCTCGTGTGATCGAGGTGAAGGACCTTTCTTTGCATGCTATCGTGGCGGGTGACCCACTTTCTTGCGAGGACATCACGAACAATCGCTCTCATAGGAAGAAATAGGCCTCCTTTGGGTTTTAAGCGTTTCATCATAAGAACGCCGTTGATAATGTCAGCAGAAAATGGAATCGGAGGGCCGCCTGCGGACGAAAAAGCAACTTTGGGGTAAGGAGTTAATGAGTTCGACAATTATTTGGCCAAATGAACATCCACACGTAAATATCTACGGATTGTTTTGGTTTCAGACCCGATGGCCAGCCCCTGTCTAAAAAGGCTTTAAAGAAGATGGAAAAAGAAAAGGAAAAAGAGAAGAAGAAGGCCGAAAGAGAGGCAAAACAGGTATTACTTTAGTGAAATATTTCAAGGGGAGCGGAAGTGACCATCACTTATTTTTCTGCTTAAAAATATGTAGAAACCTGTTATTCGATCGCCAAAGAATCTTCCTGTAATGAAGAATCGAAGACTTCTCGTGAAGATAATCTTGTAGTTGTTTTTTATGTACTTTTTAAAATGACTATAGTCTGGTAATTTTATCAGGCGCCTTGCTAAGATTTCCACCTCTTTGGTGACGAGGCTTGTACAGTTGTATCAATTGACCTGTTAATTGCTTATTGGCACCTGACCTTTAAAACATATCAGGATCTTAAAATGAGAATACATTTAAATTTCCATTTTATTATTTATTCCTAGGCTGCAGAGGCTGATGCCAAAGATGCTGAGGTAGTAAGAATGTTACAATTATTAGTTAATACTGAGTGCTTCAAGAATTATAGTTATTTTTAATTAATAGATTAGCTTTAAAATATAACTTAACTTAGCACTTAATTCATAGTTTGCAATAAACTTATATTTAGGTTAATTATAGAATTTTTAAAATAACTAACTTTTGCAATAATGTGATATGTATTTTATCGTGAATATAGACATGTTATTTCTTTGTTTGTTTATTTATTTATTTGTTTGTTTCTTTGTTTATCTATTATGTAGTTAAAAGCATGTGAACTTTGAATGCTTGAGGTAGATAATCTTGTGAATGAGAACGAGATTAAAATGGTTAGGTATATAATTAAATGTAATCTAGCAATTTGGATAGTCCATTTGTTATGTGCCACATTTATTCATTTTATTTCTAAATGTATTTAATTTGTATTTCCAATCAGGATTATGCAAAAGATCGCTATGCTATCCTTCCTATGGCTCAATCTCAGGAGAAAACATGTAAGAAAATATTTTTCAGCACTATATCCATTTAATTCTGTGTGTACACCTGTTATGCATTTTTTTGTCATTTGTCAACTCATGAATACATTTGTCAAGAATAAAAATTGAGCATTAAGGTATAAAGTTATGCTACAAGACTCACTGATTTTTTTTTTTATCTTAACAGCCAGAGTGTGGACCAAAGTGAAAGAACTGACTGCCGAGTCTGTTGGTAAAAGAGTCTTAGTTAGGGCACGACTTCACACCACAAGAGGAACAGGTAAAGGTCTTGTATGTGTGATAAAATCAATTCTTTCCAAATAATATCATATTCTTAAAATTTTAAATAATCCAACATTAATTTTCTCATCTTTTTAAGGGAAGCAATGCTTTATGATTTTACGTGATCGTCAGTACACTGTTCAAGGAATTTGTGCTGTTAATGACGTTATCAGTAAAGGAATGGTTAAGTTTGCAACAGGGTAAGTTCTAAAACTGTATAAGATAAACAATAAATATGTTATTGGGCATCTCAATGTATCCACCATCATTATCAGGACTGAAAATTTGCCTCTCACTGTCTGTCATGCCTACTGGCACACAGGGCAGCAACAAAGGATCTCCACAGCTGTCTGTCCCCAACCAGCTTTTGGATGGAGCTCCTGCTGTGACCCTTGGAAGCCCCTCATCTCTTTCTTTATAGTGGGTCACCATGTATTTTTGGGCCTACCCTGCTTCCGCCTGCCCTCCTGTGTCCAGTGGAGTGCTGTCTTAGAAATAGAGTCTCTCTCCCTTTCTGCATGATGCTGGTACCCTTGCTCTCTTGTTCACATTCTACAAGCAGATCCTTGTTGAATATGGTCTGATGAAGAATGAAAATTTGTTACATATTATATAGCTGAATTAGGGACTATCCTGTACAGGAACTGTCTTTTATTTTTGTGGTTGTTGTCAAGTATCAGAATTTTATCAAATTATTGTAATGTGATTGCAAGTGTTCTAGATAAATACCGGTACCACAAAATGGTAGGATTATATTCTGAATGTGTGCACCATTCAGTCTGACAAATTTGTTTGAATTGCTTTACAATCAACTGTGAAATAAATATGACCTGGTGATCAGTACCTCTAGTAAAAACTTATTTCAACGCGGACAAAGCTCTAGGTGATTTTGGGCTAGCAACATTGGTGTTATCTGTCTGTTGTGTCTTGACTTCTGATTGGGTTTTCATTTACAGGATAAATAAAGAGTCCATCGTTGATGTCGAGGGTGAAATAAAATCTGCTGCTCAGAAGATCCAGAGCTGTTCACAAGAGGATGTGGAGATCTCTGTTGATAAGGTTGATGTTACTTAGTCAGGGCTTGACTTCCAGGAAAAAAACCTTGGGGCCAGCTGGCTCCTAGTTTTCAGATTTAGTTGCTAGCACAAGTGTTTCATTGAAAAGCGTGAAAAGTTAGTCTCCAGTGAAAAAAATTTGGTCACAATATCGAGCCCTGTGAGTATACATAACTTGAAAAAATGCTATGAGTCATGTCTCAAACAGATGAATCTCTATAAATATTTGATTGTGTTTCAATCACCTATCTCACTGACTACATGTGAAGATCCTCGATCCCTGTAAATCAAGCATCTTATTCAAATTCAGAGTAATTATGGCATCTTGTGACTTCATTGCCATTTTTTGTGCCTGTAGATATTTGTTGTTAGTCTGGCTGAGCCAAGGCTGCCTCTCCAGATCGATGATGCCTCTCGCCCTGAAACAGATGAGGTTAGTGCTTCTAGGGCTCTCTATTAGCTCTGTGCAACAGTTTGTAAAAGCATTTATTGTGTGTTTTAGCAATGATTTGTTACAAATGGGTTTAGCTGGATTGACTTTTCATTCTGGTTGGTTATTACTTGCTCACATGTCAATGACAAAATGCAATTTATGTATCTTGGGTAGGGTACATGTCTTTCTGGAAATGGAAGCTGTTACTACCATTTAAATGGCAGTAATTGTAACTTCTTTATGAGGTCTCCATAATTTTCCACTTTTCAGGAGCAAGCCCATGTAAACCAGGACACTCGCTTGGATAACAGAATAATCGACCTTAGGGTACAGTGCGTTATTACATTATTGTAGTTTTAATCACAGAAAAATACTTCACATTAATGACGCAAGATGCAAGATTACAGGACGTGGGTATTACACACAAAGTGTCTTACCCAGGAACAAAGAATAAAATAATGCAATAACCAGGCTTAGAACTTTAGAACTACAGTCCTGTCCATATTCCAACACCCTTATTCAGTGTGTAAAGAAAGTCATGTCCTATAGCCTGGGGCTTCTCGATTTTGCAGTCTGGCTAGATGATTCCATCCCAGCTTTGCTTGCCCAATGAGCTACTAAAGTTTATTCAGAAAATGTTTGAGGGAATTCAAGTAATTATAGGTGGAATGAGACAAAATTATTGGGGATGGTTGGGGCTAGCTAATGAGAGTGGCTTTTAGGCTAGTAGATCATAGTTACAGCTGCCGAAAAATTGGTTTGTTATGCACCATGAAATCAGTTATCATCTGTTCTGTAATATCTTGGGCCTTAAAATAGTAAGAAAAAAATATTCTCTTTTGCAGACTGTTCCCAACCAAGCTGTTTTCAGCATTCAAGCTGGTGTCTGCCATTTATTCCGAGAGTTTCTCGCATCTCAGGGATTCCATGAAGTTCACACTCCTAAGATCATCTCAGGTTGGATTTGAGCCATTTGAAACAAAATCCCTTTGATGAAACAAAATATTTCTATTTCTTTTTCTTATGTCTACAAAACAATGTTATCATTAGCCAATTGGTTAAGGAGTTTTATTAGTTGAATGATCATCAAATTCCCTGGCACAATTGTATGGTCACAAGAGGAACAAGATGGTTTTTAGGGTGAGCCAAAAATTAGATCAAAGGGAGCAGGTTGGGTTAACCTGGTTATTGGGTAGACAGATACAGTGATGTTGCTTAAGACGAGCATTGCTTCAGTGAACAGTAAAATACATGATTTTATAGACTTTTATATGTCTGTGAGGATGTATTAATATTGGTGATTTTCTTTTTCATCAGCTGCCAGTGAAGGAGGTGCCAATGTTTTTGAAGTTACTTACTTTAAAGGTAATTAAAATAATTTTAAATTTCAAGTCTTGTGTATTTCCTCATGGCCTTGGAAATGTGTGATCAAGGAAATTTTGTCAATCTTGAAACTTTCTGCCTGGTTAAAATGTAGTTATTTTTTTTATCTGACGTCTCGCAGGAAAGGCATATCTTGCTCAGTCCCCTCAGCTGTACAAGCAGATGGTACTTTGTGCTGACTTTGACAGAGTCTTCACCATTGGTTCAGGTAAGACAGACAGACAGACAGACAGACAGAGAGACCGACAGAAAGACAGACAGACAGACAAACAGACCGACAGACAGACAGACAGACAGACAGAAAGGCAGACAAACAGAGACAAAAAAGAAAGCTGTTGTTTTTGGTTTTCCACACTAATTGTCTTGATTACGGCTTACAGTAAGTCTTTTATTCTGATTTTAAGTTTTCCGTGCTGAGGACAGCAACACACACCGCCACTTGACAGAGTTCATTGGCCTTGATATCGAGATGACTTTCAATGAACACTACCATGAGGTCAGTTATTTACTCGTCTCATTCTTCATCATTGGTCTTCATATGTCATGACTGACAATGAAAACTTATCTTAGTTTCTTTTGTCTTCCATCCCAGGTGATTGACATGATTGGTCGTACATTTGTTCATATTTTTAAAGGATTGCGTGACAGGTAATGACAATGTTATGTTGATTAATCTATGTATCTTAAGGTTTTGTTTTATACAAAAAAAGATCCTCTCACTTCAACAGAAGCCAGGTCCAAAAAGACATTTTTCCACTGGAGGGGACTCCCGTATAAAAAGGTCGGGGATGCTCATCGGAAAAATTTGAATTAAACCTCTAAAGAAGACCAATCTGAGCATGGATCCAGCTTGATTTGACCGCTAAAAGATAAAACCAGCAGAAATTAAGCATGAAGATGGAAATAAGTGGGGTTTTTTCATTATTATCTCTTTGAGTGCACCCTAAAAGATACTTTGGCTGCTAAAAATAGTTTTGTTTCACTGTGAACATCCTAATTGAGACCAGCATCCATGATTTATACCCCTAAGCCAGATGGCAAGCATCCCTGATCTTTTCATTTGGGAGTCCCTCCCAGACTTTTTCCTCCTTTAGTCTTAGATGCTCTTTACATTGCAGTGGAAACCCATAGGCTATATATACATGCATCTTCCATTTATTTTGGATATAGAATAAAATTGTACTTTTGCTTTGGCAGATATGCTGAAGACATTGCAAAAGTGCAGAAGCAATACCCAAGTGAGCCTTTCAAGTTCTTGGAACCAAGGTTTGCTGTGAAACTTTGCACTAGTTCAATGACTTTTTGGGAAAAAAGTCTCTAAATTTTGAATATTTTTATTGTTTTCCTATTTGTTTTACCAATATTGAAAACTACTTATTTTATAAGTTACTCTTGGTTGGGGGGTGGGGGAGTGGGAAGAAGAGAAATCAAATGGTTGTTGATTAATTGCTTGGTGTGTTTTTGGGAAATAAGGCCAGCAGGATGATAGTACATATATATTGCCTCATGACTGAAGTAGTGTCTTCAGGGAGTAACTGGATAGGGTTAGGGCTAGGGTTCTAATCGATGCTAAAGAGTCTTTGTTTTAAGCTGTTTTGCCTGAAAATCTGACGCGCACACTGTAGGGTACGAAGCCATATAAGAGCACTGTTCTCCTTGTTTTTTAAGATATGACCTTTCAATATGTTTTATTTTGCTTTAGTGTGGTTATTGTTCTTTTCCGTTTAGCTTGGTTCTGCAATACCGTGAAGGAGTTGACATGTTGAGGGAAGCTGGAATTGACATGAACTACGATGAAGATCTTAGGTAAATGACCTGATGTGTACCTGGTTTATGACAACAGCCTATTTCTGTTTTTT